TTATTTGTAAATGGTTGCTATTGCTTTTAATTTAATAATAATAATAATAATAGTAACCTTTTACAAACAAACATTTCCATCTTAAATCTCAAAATCACCGTTAGAGCACCTTCCTAGGTTGGACCGGGGAAAATTAAATTAACCTATGTTACTCGGGGATAATGTAGAACTCTTATGATGAAAGAATTTTTGAAATCGGTCCAGAAGTTTTTAAGTTTTTTTTGTTACAAACATCCAAATTTTTCTACTTTATAATATTAGTATAGAATGTATCACATTTATTTAAGTATATCAAAATTCTGATAAAGATTTGGCTTATAGCTGCCACTTGTCATTTATGCCAAAAACATTTGTTCGTCCCCAGCTCACTTGAATAAATCCTGGTAACACTACTTTTTGCTCATAATAGGTTATAAAATGTAAAAATAATATATTTTATAGTTTCACCGTGGCTAGCTACAGTTATTTAACTTTTATAATTTGTACAGGTATTTTTGCTGAGATGCTGTCAGTAAGCCATCAAAACAGACGAACTAACAATGTTTTAGAAATCAGCCATAGGAATCTAATGACGAACATGCAAAATCCTAATCCAAGCCCATGGTTATTTTTAGGTAAACATTGAATAGGGTTGATTTTAATAAATAATCAATAGTTTTTTAATAATACATCATTTTCATTTAAAAAAATTTTATATCATCAGAAAACCTTATTACTCACGTTCATGGAATCATGAACGATTACCGGTTGGCAGTAGATGGCATAGAAGTCCGGCAACCTAGGCCACGTGCGAGCATCGAACAGGACAAAAAAATAACCTTGGGCCTAACAAAACTCGTACAGAATCGTTTTAGTGTAGCAGAGTTCTTGGGTTACACTAAACATGTAACGCCAAATTTTGGAGTAGAGCGCCCTAATGTTCACAATGAAGGTGAATATTATAATTCTTATAGTTGTGTTATACAACTGTTTATTATTAATTAAAATATACATTTCTCTGATCAATTATTTAATAATTTTTAATATTTTAGAGTTACGAGCACAGACTGTTCAACCAATCATCGAACCAGTTTTGAATAATATGATGGACAACATTGGTAATCATGGCTTTTTAATTGAATGTAAATTTGTGTAGCAAGTTTTTTAATAATTTTTAATATTTTAGAGTTACGAGCACAGACTGTTCAACCAATCATCGAACCAGTTTTGAATAATATGATGGACAACATTGGTAATCATGGCTTTTTAATTGAATGTAAATTTGTGTAGCAAGTTTTTTAATAATTTTTAATATTTTAGAGTTACGAGCACAGACTGCTCAACCAATCATCGAACCAGTTTTGAATAATATGATGGACAACATTGGTAATCATGGCTTTTTAATTGAATGTAAATTTGTGTAGCAAGTTTTTTAATAATTTTTAATATTTTAGAGTTACGAGCACAGACTGCTCAACCAATCATCGAACCAGTTTTGAATAATATGATGGACAACATTGGTAATCATGGCTTTTTAATTGAATGTAAATTTGTGTAGCAAGTTTTTTAATAATTTTTAATATTTTAGAGTTACGAGCACAGACTGCTCAACCAATCATCGAACCAGTTTTGAATAATATGATGGACAACATTGGTAATCATGGACTTTTTTTGTATTACTTTTTTGCCATAAGATAAATTAATAATTTATTCTAGAACCAAGAGATCGTGTGATACTTGGATATGAGTCACCACCAGCATTCTTCCAGGGAGTTCTGAGGCATTACAACCTGCCTTTATTATTACCATTGCCCATTTATGAAGAACAAGATGTGATGCCATATGATGTTTTGCATGAGTTTCAGGAACATAATGATGAAGGTTAATATACTGACTAGTGATAGGTTAGGTGTTGAAATATTATTTAGTTATCAATGGGTAATTTAAATTTCTTATATAATTTATTTTGTTATATGTTTATGTTTTAGAGCTAGATAATGAAATTGTACCATACGTGGTTGACAATATTGGTAATGATACATTTTTTTAAACAATTTTTTACATAAGATAAAAATGATAAAATATATAATATTTTATTCTAGAACCATTGGTATGGCCGACATTCGAATTTGAGCCACAGCATCAAATAATAAATCCAATTAACGATTTTCCTCACATAAATATAAGAAGATCAAATGATGAAGGTATATATTTTTAAATATAAAATGTTAGGCCAGTCTTCTACAATTTTACCCACAGTAATAGGCTAAAAATTCTGCTAAATATTATCTAATATTTAAAAAGTATACATGTATTTACATATAATTAATAAGCGTTATTTGATAGATTACATTTTCTCTACTCATTTCTAAAACTGCACATTTTCACTCATTTGTAATTTTTCAAATATTATTAGTTAATAGTTATAAATTATACACTTAAACTTTAGTCTTATGCCTGATTTATAAATTAAATTGTCTCAACTAATTTCTAAAATCGTGCACAATATCTCTGTTTGTAATTTTTCAAATATTATTAGTTATAAATTATACACAAGTGGCAAAGTCTTATGCCAGATAAATTGTAGAAGTATTATATAAATGATAACATAAATATGTTTAATGAATAATAACCATATTATTATTACGATGTGAAGGACACCCAAGGAAATTTTATTAGAAGACATATGCATTATGCATTGTGCCATTGTCATATTATGATATATTATGTACATAGCTTATAAGCCATTTTCCCTTATTCTATATTCTATAAGACCATTTATACAAATTAATGTATAAACAAATAAGTAATATATGATATTATAATACTTTAAACTTAAAAATTATTTTTCAGTTGAAAACATGAGAGAAATTGTGGTGTGTGTGGCATGCATGAGTACTGGATCAAATATTGTACTAAGGCCATGCAACCATGTCTGCTTGTGTGGTGAATGTTTCGAAGGATTGGATAGATTGGTTTGTCCACTTTGCCGAGCAGTAATTACAGAAATTGTCGTTATTTTAGAGTAATACAATTATAATAATAATCATTAAAATATTATACCTAACCTATTGGTGTTTCATTATTGTTCTATATTTACCCAATTTATCAGAAATATATGCATATTACTTGAAAGTGACAAATGTATAAGCTGAATTATACAAATTTGTAAAAACTAAAAAACATGTCTATAAATCAATAGATTCATAGGTAACATTTAACAGCCAGGCGCAAGTGTTGGAATCGCAAGCCAGTTATCCTTCTAAAATTCCGCGACTATAATAAAATTAGCATTATAAACGGCAGAGCCAAGTGGTTACATTGTTTGCCAAAACAGCAACTTTACACTACCTCTGTCCATATCAAAAGAACCGACATTGTATAAACAGGGGCCAGAAACACAGCATATGCAGATATACCTGAGCCTTTGAGATAAGAGCAACTTTACGTCACTCAGTTACATACACACTATTACGACTACTGCATAAATTATATTATTGTGTTGTTTTAGTTACAGTTTGATAGATAAGTTGATTTGTGTTAAAACTTAAAAGCCATACAAAATAAATAAAATAAATTATAATATTGAAAATAAACTACTATTTCATTTTACTGTTGAAATTGACTTCAACTTCATTTAAAACTTACTTCTTTTGGATCCACAAACAACAATATGAAACTACTTAAAATGCTAATTATACAATATATACTAAATACTTTAAATTACTAAATTGCAAATGTGTTGTTTCATACTGTTAAGCAAAATGTTTTCATCGTACAATATCTATCATCAGATATTCAGATCCAATATTAATTTAAACAGACTGACAAAGGAAAATTGTTGTAAAAATAAAAAACAGGCTAGTTTATTACAAAAAAATCTACTACTGATTAATTCCTTTCTTGGACCCAAGGCTAATTATTTGTAAAATTATGAATGTATCTACGGTAATAAATTTATATATTATGTGAATTAGGTATATAGTATTTTTATAAAACGTCATCAAATGTGGACAAGTGCAATAATTTAGGACCGTTCTTACAATATCCGGTTAAAGTTAACCGACACTTTACCGGACATTGTAAGAACGGCCCTAAGTTGTAATAATTACAAGTTATCTACAAATTTTTAAATCTCCAACATTTGCAGAAAAGTGTTGCATACTAAGATTAAAGTTTACAAACTTCTTAAAATTTAGTTAAAATAATTGAATACAATTATTGTTTAGTCTATCTCACCCCTTATGGCCTATGTCAAAGCAGGCCAATAGCTTCAGCATGCAAACAACGGAATTTATGAATACATAATGCCATAATATAAATAAAATACATATATATTATGTACAATATTCGTCAAAACTCAAATTTGATCAATTTAATTTATTAGTTAAAAGTTAAAACTCAAGTCTCAAATTTAAATTTATAAATCATAAATGTTGATAATGATAAAAACCATGAACTATGATTATAGTTCATGATAAAAACATTTTTATTTACCTAACCTGGTTACTAGTTACTAGTGAGACGTTTTGATCAAAGGATGAAAAATAGATTCCGAGACAACTAGATCCATGTTGTTATCATATGTACGGTTGGGATCTTGATGACCCGGGTCCTTATCAGAATGGTTACCGGGATCTCGATGACGCGGGATCTATTTGTCCGCACACCGTTCATGGTATTATCATTTATCACTAATCAGTAGTTATCACTTATCATGCAAGTCGTGTGATTTCGTGAATTATTTTCGTTTTTTGCTTTCGTAAGTAATATCCGTGAACATTAGAGAACTTCAAATGTCCGATGGTAATGGCATTGAGTATAATATTACTAAATAATATAATTTACTCAATGGTTATAGATATGAGTGTATGACGTATATTTCTGACTTTCTGAGAACGATCTGAATCCGAATATCTGAATATAATATTTGTCTCTGATTCACGGTCTTCTTCAACCGATTGTTGGTTATAATATTGTATGAAACAATAATTTACCATATTTGCCATTCACCTATAAAAATGGAACTGTTGATGCCATCCGAAGTCGCTCGTTTAGTATACGGTAAGTGCTTCAGTTTTTAGATCTCTACACTAGTATGTTTTATTTTTATAAAATTAGCTCGTCCAGCAATATATTTTGTGGTTTACCTACGTCTTACGCCTTATAATATTAGGTAGTGTGTAGGTATTAGGTATAATATGCTAAAGATTTGTATCTATATTTTTATATTTGTCAATACAGGTTATCTAAGGAACGAAAAAAATGAAGATACGGCAGAATGTTTTTTAAAATCCTCTCCTTGTTTAACTGAATGTTATCAAATGTGTAAGACTAACAGAAACTTTAATATAAAAGTGAATGGATTCAATTTACACGACATCTTTGATGTTTTTGGAACTATGTGTAGCATGAGTAAGTTTTGAATATTTATTAATTATTATTGATTGTTATTATCAATTGAACATTTTTTTAATTAAATAAATTACAAATTCAAAAAAATATTGTTAATATTTTATATGTTTTGGTTTTAGTTCAAGAACGAATACCTGAAGCATTTGAATCGAAAACATTAATTGAGAAATTACAGTATTTACTAGATTCAGACCATACACCAACCAAAGAAAAAAGATGAAACAAAAATAAATATTGAGCCAATGCTACAATGTAGTCCAAAAAATATTCATAATTTAATTTCTGGGTATGTATTAATATTATAAATATCTACAATTAGTTTTAGCTTTAGTATTAGTATTTGCTTTACATTTAAAATGGATACCAATTTTGAAAAAATTATTTTCTACAACAGTATGTCCGTTTACCAATATTGTGTTTAGTAAATAATAATAAAAACTAAAGATATGGAGAATGATGACATATTTCCTAACATAATTCTTGAAAACTTAAATTTATTTAACTAGTAAACTGTTCAAATTGTATGCATAATTTTTAAAATGTAAGTGTCTAACACTTTTACTAACTACATACCCATCTGTTCACAGGACACATTGTATAATATTATCAAATTGTGTGTGTGGACATACCTACATTTGTCTATGGAAAGGGCTCAGCACGTTTACTCAAAATAAATTAACAAATGTATATGTTAGGTGGTATATGTAACCATCTCAAAATATCCATGACTTATTTTAAGAATATAATAAGTGCTTGCTCTTTAAAAAATATTTTTGCCTTTAAGTTTGATTATAACATTATGTCATATCACTGTAATATATTAAGACTAACGGTACAAAATTTGATCTACTGTACTCACAATTGCATGTTGCTCGTTGTGCACAGAGAGAGAGGACAAATGGTGCACTGACATATTTTTAACAAAAGTTTTAATTTTTAGGTAATACAATTTTGCTGATCAAGAATCCAATTTTAATAACTCAGAAGAGGGCCACAACATAATATTGAAATTGCGGGCATCCTATTATAGTTTCTATAATACCTGATCACAAATGTAAGGGATACATAGCCACAATTTTTCTTGAGCATTTAAAGTTCACGCTTCGACAAAATTCATCAACAACTTGCAAATTATTTTGTAGTTAAAAATGTATGAAGTGTTCAATTTGGTAAATTAGCTTATGCTTATAGTAAAAATTGATAAAAATTGAATATAAATATGTAAATTATTGGTTTACAGGTCGTCAAACCCCCGTTCCCATTTGCAACGAGGAAAGACAAACTTCTTTGCAAAAAGAGTATGCAATTACCAAAAAGCTTCAGTGGCTGTTATTAAAATTCTTCAACTATCAACAATGGACATAACTGGTGAAGACTTTTGAATTAGGTACATTCTGATAGGTACCTATTTCGTTTAATATGTGTACTTATTTTACCTATGTTTGCCCCCCATCACACATCAGAAAGTAATTTTAGTTACTTTATTTAACCAAAAGAAAACTATACCTACACACTGTGGAGTTATGTTTGTGAATTAAATCATTTTGTCAATGACTAATTTAAGAAAACTTTATTTTTTAATTTTATAATAAAAAAGAAAAGTAGGTACCTATTTAAAACTATTATAAACTATACCATCATACTTTTCATATTTTCGTATTCATAGTTTATAATATGTATTTTAAAATTTAGAAATATATGATTAATATAGTAGTGTGTTGTAAATTATTGATATACCTGCAGCAGTTATTTGTACATACTAAATAAGAAATTATTACTAAGTACGAACAAAAATAAATCATAATATAATATAAGTTATAAGTATAACTGTTGTTGTACAAAATAATTAAAACATTTTGTTTTTCATGTCTATAGACTTAAAACTAATTAATTTCAACTCTTTAACATAATTTTTTCTGTGTTCATTAACTTACAATATTGAAATTTTTCTCTATTTGGGATAAAGAAATCAAATTTTCTTCTTGTCATTCTGATTCCAAATAAATCAATTTTTTGCAATTGTTCCAGTAGTAGCATTTTAATGTTTTATATGTTTATCATCGTGCCATACCAATCAGATAAATGTATTTTAATTAATAAGAAATTGAAAAACACGTATCCTAGTATTTGCAGCTCTGAAGTTTTTTATTTGGGTCAAGGGTCGAACCACTGGAATCATATATACATATTCAATTTTCGAATAAAAATACTTATTTGTATGAATTTCCAACTAAAAAATACTCGTAGTTTTCAAATTTTCGTGATTTCTACGAATTTTGTCAAAATTCTAACTTCAGACGCTCATGAAAAACTATTGTGAATTTACGCTAGACTTTTTTTTTAATTTCCACCAACAACGACTTGCAAGGAACGTTGTAGGCGTATTACATTCTCAAGTTATTGGACCGAGCGAAAATTTTCTAGAAAATTAAGAAAAAACTAAAATAAACGAAAATTTCGTAAACATATAACGAATACCTCGACATGAATCTAAATATTTTGAAAATGTAATCGTTTTTGATTCCAATATAAACAATGAGTGAAAATTGCATGTGTTTACAGTAATTTATTTTAGAGTTGCACCACTTACACGAAAAACCTAAACCGATTTTACGTAAAAATTCACGTTTTCCTATATTTTTTTTTGTTGTTTTTCCCGGCGCTTTTGGAGACTAGGTAGGTACTGTTCATTTCGACATGCCCTATGCACCTACTAGATTCACTTGCCACCGGAAAAGATGAAAAGCGAAGGATTCATTCGACTACTTATCGTGTACACAGACCCAAATAATAAATTTTATTACGCAGAACGTAAATTTGCTAATTGTTTCAATACAGGTCGATTCACTCTAACTTTTGAACTGACGATGCTAAATGTGATCTGCTGATCGTAAATTTGCTATAAAGGCGGAGACAATAAAATGCCCGTGTTACGTCTTAAATCGTGGTTCGTGGAGCTGCATCGTTCACGAAATTTCGGACTTGGGTAAAATGTAATATTTTAATGCCCGCCATTTTGTCTTATCACCATGTACCACGAACTATGATAGTAATAAATAATAATTGTTATCAAATAAATAACAACATAATGATATTATTTTTTTTTCGATGCACAGTATTGCACACTTTAAATTCGAATCACTCGCGAGTCTCGATTATTTGAAATTTGAACAAAAATACAGACTACAGAACTACAGTCGTAGGTACAGCGTTCTATTCATACATTTTGTTACAAAATCACCATGGATATGACGTATTCTTTTTAGTAGAACATCCAATGTATAGCTTCGCCACAATACGTTAATTTGTAAGTATTATTTTCTAGTTGTACTGATTATATTTCTTAATAATGTGGAGTCAGTCTAATTTGCTAATTTGTTCACCAATATAGGTAGATTTCCAAAAAATCAATGAAATAAAAGGAAATAATGGCTGCAAATGTTCGAATTATCCCGATTTCTACCTGGCGTAGAATTTGCGGTAGGTAATCATTTCTCAATTATAACTAATGATTGTAAACAATGCTCAGTAAATTAGTAAATGTGGTGTAGTAATTATGAAACTTAAAGGTGACAATATTGTTGATAGGTTTTTATTCCAAATCTATTTTGCAGTGCTACTTACTAACTACATACCCATCTGTTCACGGGACACATTGTATGATATTATCAAATTGTGTGCGTGGACATACCTACATTTGTCTATGGAAAGGGCTCGGCCCGTTTACTCAAAATAAATTAACAAATGAATATGTTAGGTATATGTTACAATCTCAAAATATCCATGACTTTTTTAAGAATATAATAAGTGCTTGCTCTTTAAAAAATATTTTTGCCTTTAAGTTTGATTATAACATTATGTCATATCACTGTAATATATTAAGACCAACGGTACAAAACTTGATCTACTGTACTCACAATTGCATGTTGCTCGTTGTGCACAGAGAGAGAGGACAAATGGTGCACTGACATATTTTTAACAAAAGTTTTAATTTTTAGGTAATACAATTTTGCTGAACCAGAATCCAATTTTAATAACTCAGAAGAGGGCCACAACATAATATTGAAATTGCGGGCATCCTATTATAGTTTCTATAATACCTGATCACAAATGTAAGGGATACATAGCCACAATTTTTCTTGAACATTTAAAGTTCACGCTTCGACAAAATTCATCAACAACTTGCAAATTATTTTGTAGTTAAAAATGTATGAAATGTTCAATTGTTATATTTAGCTTATGCTTATAGTAAAAATTGATAAAAATTGAATATAAATATGTAAATTATTGGTTTACAGGTTCCCATTTGCAACGAGGAAAGACAAACTTCTTTGCAAAAAGAGTATGCAATTACCAAAAAGCTTCAGTGGCTGTTATTAAAATTCTTCAACTATCAACAATGGAAATAACTGATGAGGACTTTTGAATTAGGTACATTCTGATAGGTACCTATTTCGTTTAATATGTGTACTTACTACTTATTTTACCTATGTTTGCCACCCATCACCCATCAGAAAGTAATTTTAGTTACTTTATTTAACCAAAAGAAAACTATACCTACACACTGTGGAGTTATGTTTGTGAATTAAATCATTTTGTCAATGACTAATTTAAGAAAACTTTATTTTTAAATTTTATAATAAAAAAGAAAAGTAGGTACCTATTTAAAACCATTATAAACTATACCATCATACTTTTCATATTTTTCGTATTCATAGTTTATAATATGTACTTTAAAAATTAGAAATATATGATTAATATAGTAGTGTGTTGTAAATTATTGATAAACCTGCAACCTGCAGCAGTTATTTGTACATACTAAATAAGAAATTATTACTAAGTACGAACAAAAATAAATCATAATAATATAATATAAGTTATAAGTATAACTATAGTTGTACAAAACAATTAAAACATTTTGTTTATCATGTCTATGGACTTAAAACTAATTGATTTCAACTCTTTAACTTAATTTTTTCTGTGTTTATTAACTTACAATATTGAAATTTTTCTCTATTTGGGATAAAGAAATCTAATTTTCTTCTTGTCATTCTGATTCCAAATAAATCAATTTTTTGCAATTGTTCTAGTAGTGGCATTTTAATGTTTTATATGTTTATCATCGTGCCATACTAATCAGATAAATTTATTTTAATTAATAAGAAATTGAAAAACACGTAGCCTAGTATTTGCAGCTCTGAAGCTTTTTATTTGGGTCAA